TTCCTCTAGAAGCCGAAGACTAAATGCGTTTTACAATTTAGTGGCCGATTGTTTACAGTCAGCGTGACACAAGCCGATGCCTACAGCTGATTGTTTAGATGATAGATTAAAGGTTTTGCGTTATTAGTGTTTAGTATTTTTAGCTGCGTGAAAAATGTGGCCTAAGAGGTTTAAAGAAACTATTTTTGGAAAAAATTGGAATAAAATGCAAAAGATTGCATAAGAAGCGCAAAGATTAGCAAAAAATGCGAAAAAACTCCATAATTATGAAAAACATACGGTAATCTGAAAAGAGGATCTAAATTGAGCAGAGAATTGATGACACTCAGCATTGGAGTGTTTTTTGAGGTACTTAGAAAATACAAAAACAGTATTGATTAGAAGTACACCAGATATACCATCTTAAAAAATTTGTCGGTTCTATTCTCTACGACACGGCAACTGTCCGTTTTTGAGAAATGCGAAAACGCGGGAACAAAAAATATCAGACACTAGTAATGCTACTTTGCCTGTATGGATCAAATGTTAAAAACTCGTACAAAACAATTTCATTCCTACTTTCTTCAAGTTTTTCACAAAACTTAGTGTGCACTCAAGAACTATTTCTAGTAAAAAAGATAAGCTTGTTCTAGATTACCGTTTTTTGCAATTTTGTAATTTAACATCACTGCTACGATCTAGTGCACTATCAAAGACGCGAACCTCAAGAGTTTTCTGGGAGTATCTGATTTACTTATTCCCCAGCTTTATTTCTTTAATAAAGAATTCCTAACCTACAGAAACCCTGCCCCTCTTTCCTGTGTGTTTATCTGCACTCTACACGACAACAAACTGGGAAACGGACTACGGTTAAAAGCAATAGTACCGTTGATATTGACTATATATATTTGTTTTCCCCACGTTGGCATTCTTCCAAAGCACAAAAGGTCTATATATCAGTTGCAGTACTGCCTTCGAGTTTCAATTGATCGTCATCCATATGACATACCAAATGATTTGGTCCGTTTGACCGAGGGTATTTTAAGAAAATTAAGAAAGCTTTCTGGCTTCTCGTAATATTTTTTGTTTATTTGTTTTCAGTAGAATTCATTCTGTGCTAATTTATAGCTCTGGACTGTTTCTATCGCGTCTTCTAAAAGTAGAACAGTTTCGAACTTAAATCGTTCAAGCTTATTCAGTTTGCAAGAAAATTTGTTACAGAAGTTTTTGAAAAGTTGTCGAACAGTGCCAGGGGATGGGGTACGAAAAAATGCTGTTTAGTACAACTAGGATTCACTCAGCAGTTTTTGTCTAAGGATTTTATAGCGTGACATGTTCAGTAATTGCTTTCATCGCTTACCTGTGTGCATCTATCGGGCAAATTTTTATAAGTAGTGGCGAATAATTTTTTTTTGGTTGCTTTTGTTGGAAATATGTCTTGTTAGATTTTTTATTGTCTGTTTCGGCTTTGCAACTTGCGGTCATTTAGACAGTCGCTGATTCGAAACCTCCTTGTCACTCCGCTTCTTTGATGCAGCTCAGATGTAAGATCTATACTTTAGACTCTAGATTATGACTTCTGATGTGCCATCATTTTGCCTAAACTGCCAAAGTGAGCTGATTATTGACAAAAGCTTACATGGCAGAGACACTGTTGGCGCTGGATTGACTCACCTTAGTGATCAAGTACGTGCTTCTAGGATAAATACTCAAATACTGTAAAATACTGGGTAGGATTTGTTTTTCATAAGTCGAAATTGATTTAAGGTTAGTTGTGTTCCCATTAGCTGCGTAGCTACAAAGTTGGGTATTCTTTGACTCTTGCAATCCAAAATTTTTTATTTTTTACTATAAAGCTGTGTATTTGAAACAGCCAGTAGGTGGAAGTATAGTCTTTTTCCCTTTCAGATTGGGAACCTGAAGTTAGAAGGCCAGGGCGTTGGAAGTCTGTATGATATTATTTGTAATTCAGACTCTCCGCTGAAGGGTCCCATTTGTGAGGTATACATTTTGTAAACTCTCTTCACCTCTAGAATTTCGTTTTTAAAAATATTATAATGCTTTAAAATATTCACACCCCCCTCCTCCACTAGATTTCGTCACCTGACATTATTCTTCTTCAAGTAAAACGATTTACTGGCTAACTAAAACAGTTTCAAGGGAGGTTTTAGCATCTGTTAATAGTTTGCAACTCCTGCCACATACTTCCTCTCATCCTCAATATCTTTAGAACCTTTTGTGTTGTGAAGGTCGGCACTTCTTAAACCAAGTATCTTTTATTCAGGCGTGTACAGGTGAACTTCTTAAAGGGATGGATCAGCAGCTGAAGGGACTAGAAGATGAATATAGCAATTACAGAAAACTCCTTGAATCCCTTAAAACGCGAGGTATTAACGAGTTTGATGAAAGTAGCACTAAAAGAAAGATGGAAAAGCTAAAAGTAATTTTTTCCTCTTATCGTTTATCTAGCTTATATATCCATTAACGTTTCGTGGAGTCGGCAAATAATTACAGAGAGAATACGTGCTGAGTTATTTTATTTTTGGCATGGAATTTTTTTAGAAAGTGTGCAAATTTAGTTTTATATTTTTTGTCTCATCTATCTGAAAGGTTTTTCAGACTGAACAAGAGTGCTGTTTAAAGGAATTAAAGGAGCTGGAAGACAAGGAGAAAACACTGGATGAAAAATTAAATGCGAAAGAGAGCAAATTGAATACAGTCCTTGAAAGCGAAGAGAAGTTATGGAGGGAAATTCGCGATAATCTTAGGTGCGGATAACTGGTTTTTAGAGCTGCTGAGATAGAGAGGTTTTCTCTATCATTTATAAGGCCGTAGTTTCAGAACCTTAGTTGATCTAGAAGCTAGTGAACAAGACGTTGGAATGCAACTGAGATATGTTAGGGAGCAGTTGGATAAACTCTCGAAATTAAATGTTCTGAATATTACATTTCATATATGGGAGCAAGGAAGTTTTGGGACCATTAATGGGTTCAGGCTTGGTCGTTTGCCGTCGATGCAGGTTGAATGGAATGAAATAAACACTGCATGGGGCCAGGCTGCCCTTTTACTTACAGTATGCCTGTTACTGCGTTTTAACCTTTTGACTCATTTAGTTACATGTACTAAAATTACTGCTCATGAAAAGCCTAGTGAGAAGACCTTAGTTTTTTTACCTCTAGCTTCTCAAGCTTATTTATCTTTCAGGTTCTGTTCAAGAACGTTGAGTATTGCGAACTTGAAGATTATAAAATTTTTCCTATGGGAAACCATTCATTTATTCGCGTTCTTTCAACTGGAGAAGACTTGCCACTTTATGGGAGTGGTGGGTTCAAACCGTTTGGACAGAAAAATTTCGATGAAGCAATTAGTGCGTATGTGGAATGTTTTCGCCAGTTAGAAAAATATATCCAGGTTTAGTAAATGAAATTTCTAATTTTTCTCTATATTGTGTTTTTTGCTTCACTAAAGTTTTCTTTTGTTTCATTTTTTCTGGTCACTGAATTGTAGTTTAATTAGCGAACAGTTGTTATGGATTCCAAATCGTTTGAACTGTCCGTACAAAGTTAACATAGAGCCGGATGGGCATTTCTGGCGTATCTTAATTTAACTTTGTCAGTTTAAGGCAAATAGTACGTTCCGCCTACCTCATAAGATGCGAAAAGATTACATTGAAGACAACAGAGTGGAGTACTCAGTAAAGATGCAATTTAATTCTGAAGAACGATGGACTAAGGCAATGAAGTGCTTACTGATCAATCTACGATGGACCATTTCGTTTGTGGTGACTCTGAGAAGTATGAGTCGGTTTTAAAATTTGTGGTCTAGCTTTTGTTTGGGAACCCGGATAAGCTTTTCTTTCTATTTTTTCTGCTGCTTTTGTGATTAATATATCGATTATGCATTTCGACTGTCTGAAAGCTGTTTGCAGAATGTCAGAGATGCTGCTTGAGTACGTGTTCTTTCTCATTACTTCCTGTGGTTCATTTTATTCAAGAAGTTCTTAGATCCTTTTTGTAAATACATTTTCATCGCTTGTACGTTTTATAATATCTCAGATTATGTTCCTCAATTTTCTCAGTTAAGTAATGTGTTTTTCACATTAAGGGTTTTTAATTAGTGCCGATTCAGAAGAGGTAGTGATGTAATCATTTGAATGCCTCTCTCGTGAGTTTTTTTACACCTGTTTCGTTATTTTTCAGCTGCTCATTCGAATTTTTCAACAATTAATGTCTTCTTGCTACTTATTTTCTTTAAATTCAGAGACGGTTATGTATATAGATGTATAAAATTCTTTTTTTCTTTTTAAATGCAGTTTTGAATGTGGCTTTTGTTGCTCAGTACTGAAACATATAAAAGAAATGATTTTCACCTTAGAATTGGTTAGTTTTGCAACGATAATTACGAAAAAGAGAAGTGCTTTTTTCAAGCTATAGAAAAAGCGTTTTTCTTGTTTGTGATCCTCAATACAAGAAGAGTACATGTGTTTCTGACATGTAGTTTCAGGTGCTGCGGTACCCCTCATTAGTAGGGATGTCGCTTAAGGCAGCAAATCTGGTCGAGTCGGTGCCGTATGACTTTCCAGAAAACAAAATGAGTAAAGTTATGACACCCACTGAGGGAGACACATCTAAAGAATGAAACCCAATACTCTATGGTTCTGAAGCATAACGAAGCAATAAAGACCAAATGAAGTGTCTTCAAACGGTGAGCTTTCTTCGTACAGACTTGCTCTGTTTTGTACCATGCAGTATGAGCTTTATTTTAATTAGTGGGACAGGTAACTAAGTTGTTGGTTCGTTCAGTAACGGAAAAGGAGGCTTGTAGTTTACTTCTCCAATGTTTTACCAGTTGGGTTCGTGTGCTGTAGGCAAAGGTCGACTTCGGGTGCAGAACTGTGGAAGTTTAGCGACGAAAGGATGTCGGGTGGTGTCAAGATTGCATGGCTTCATTGACCTCGGTCAAAGCTCTGCAAAGCACTTGGAAGGTTTTACTAAGCAGCTAGGAGAAGCCAAGCTACAAATAGAGGAGTATTTTTATCTCCCAGGAGTTTTGGACGTCTCGCATTTTCGTCGTTCAAAAAAGGGGGTGCAGAACTGTGGATGTTTAGCGACGAAATGTAAGCTCAGAAGGTTCAAAAAGCTTCGCAGTAAGCCCTCTTGATACTAACCCTTCATTAAAGCTTGAGGGGAGGAACTGGCTGTATAAGCTGGACCGGAGCCAATCTGATCTAATAGATTTTGCAACCATATTGCCGGTGGCTGAGAACTTCTATTTAATAATGTTGATGAAGTGGAAGCTCTGTATCTGTTTAAATGAACATTTGTGGGCGGAGGGGTGCTGATTGTGTGACACGGATTCGAAGCTTAAAGTGTATTGTTTAGGCCCTTGACGTGTGCTCATTTTTAGCAGGATTTTATAGGCAAAAATTTTCGTTGACACTGGACTTTCCACCAAATGACTGCGTATGGAAGTCTACAACGTTCTTTTACTCAAACAGTTTTTGCAGTTTTTAGTTCTTAAGGTCTTATTGTACATTCCGAGTGTGAAAGTATTTGGAGATTGCGAAATCTGAATTTACTTCACATTTTTCGTCAAGATTTTTGTTGTATGTGTAGAATATTTCATTTGTTAATTTTTGAGATCGAAAACCTGACGTTAGAGGGGTACTGGACTAGGAATATCTCTTATGCCAATTGTAATTTTCACTTTCCGTTGAAGAACTCTGCTTGTTAGGTATATGTCTCCTAACTATATTTTACTTTGAAGTATCGTTTAAGATAATGGTTGTTTCGTTGTAAAACATGTTTTAGAAATTTTTATTTGGCTTTCACTTCTTCTGATAGCACGTGAGAAGGTCATTTCATTTTGATAAGAAATTTTTATGCTGGGAACTGATGTAGTTCAAATCAAAACGTTTTCTATTTTTAGGGGATTCTTTTCAAATGATTTGTTTCTCTCTAGTTACTGATTAAAGCTTTTATGCTGATGGGATGTTCATTTTAAAAAATTGAAGCAAGTAGAGATCTTGAATGGAAAACTAAATATGAAAAAGTAGCTCTCGATAGTGGAGAACGGCTTAGAACAGCTTTGCAAATTTGCAGCAATTATAGGCTCAAGTAAGTGGTATTCAAGACTTCGGAAGATGTAGATTTTATTGTCGTAGTTAATCTAGAATCTAATAGAAAAACTGCTGCGACGCAAGTAGGGATATTAGAGATATATTATGAACTCTTAAAATTAAATTTTCTCAACAATACATTACACATATGGGAGCGAGGAAGTTTTATGATTTTCAGTAGGTTGAGGCTTGGTCGCATGCTGTCTTTCTGAATTGAATGGAATGAAGTTAACTTTGAGTAAGGCCAGACAACCTTTTTACTTGCAGTATGACGATCGATGTCTGTCTATTTTCTGATTTTCATCTCTCAGTTGAACGCTGAATTATTCATGAAAAATTTGGTAAGAAGAATTTTCTTTTTTATTCTTGCTTATTTTCGATTAGTTCTTTTAGGTGATGTCAAAGGACGTTGGGGGTTTTGAGCTTTTGAGTTACAAAATATTTTCTGTGGAGGAACGTGAATCTGTGCGTGTTTTTTCAACGTGTTCTTTTAACTAGAGGTTTTCTTGCCATTCTGTGAAAGTAGGTAGTTTCATTAAACAGTTCGGTTAAAAAATTTTGATGAAACGATTAATTTATATTTAAAAAGTTCTTGCCACTTAGGTTACTGAAACTTCTAGTTATTTGTTGTTCAAAATTGGCTAACACTGCTAAGATTGCTTCTTCTTTCTTTGCATTAGAAGATTAAGTGTAGTTTATAGGGTGGAAGGCAATGTTTCTGTTGAATCTTGACCAGTTTGAGTCTTTCTTAAAACATTTGGAAGAGTCGAATGGGTAGTGCTTAGGTTGTTTTCTGAAGATTTTGTTATTTTAAGGCTAAAGTAACTTTCGACTGCCTTTCAAGATGCGTAAAGATTTGGGAAGACAAAAAGCTGGAGTGAAGATACACCTGATTTCTAAAGAACGACAAGATTTAGCTGTGCTGTCTTTAATGGTGGATTTGCAGTGTACTATCTTCACTGCAGTGGATATGGAATAAATAGTTGTTATTTCTAAATTTGTGACTTTGCTATTTCTATTAGAAATGGAGTGATTTTCAATTTCAGTGGTCAGTATATATGACTGTTGCAAAAACTCTCGAAAATTTTATTTCACTACATAAGAGAAAGTACCATTTTGTTCTATAACATTAATTGGTAGGATAATTCTGTTTAGGTACTCTAACTTTTTTTTGCGCGTGCGAACTATTAACTGTTCTTGGACACGGTTACGGTTTCTCCCTGTCAGCGGTATTGGTTTACGGGGTTTCTATCCCGTTTTTATCTGCTGAACTGTACAATATTAGTACAGTAATGTGATAAGCTGATGACATCCGAATACAAATTTTTACTTTTTTTGGTTTGTTCTTAGCTTTCACAGAAAAGGAATTCAGAAGTTCTAGGAGTCTTTGGTTTCAATTAGGTATACTGACAACTTTTTGGTTGGTTATCTACAGTTGTCCTTTAGACAACAATTGATCTTTAATTTATTCATCTGCTTTGCGTCAAGCCACATGTTTCTCGCTGAGACTGTTTAAATTACAGGTTGATTTAAAAAAATTTTCAACGAACTTTGTGATATTTTTGATTATCTTCTGAATTACTATTTGTTTCTTTCTTCCTTTCTCGATCTGATTTTCCGACTGATGTCGCTCAAGAAGTAAAAGTGTTCTATTGTATCATAACAGACGTATGCATTGCCTGTTTTCTAATGCTTATTCTACTGTTTTTATTTTTTCTTTGAGTTTCTTACGTGCTTTTAAATCAGTTGTGGTATATATGCTAATTTCGTTTGTTACTATTGGCCATACATAGTGCATATAAACTGTTTGAACGCTTTTTTTGCTTCATGGAAAGTATTTGTTTGTTGGTTCTATTGTTCGTTATCGAAGCTCGTAAATAACTTATGTATGCTTACGCAAAAAATTAGCCGTTTTACCTGAGTAGACTTTTATTTTAACGGGAAGTAAATTCGTCTTTACCAAGGCTGCTGTTGCACATTGTTTTGAAGCACAGGGGTGGACTGGCTACTGTTAGTCTTCTTAAGTTTAGGATTTTCACTGCCGTAAAGGCAATTATGAACAGCAATATTCAAATGAAGGGCCTTTTCGGGCTGCAGTATGTTTGGGCTAGGCTTGTGTAGATTTTTCATTATGTTGTTAGAATGAAACTATTTGTAATTTTATCTGCAGCTTTAAAGTGGAAAAGTTATTTGTAAAACAGTGTTTTGTCAGCGGCAGGTACTGTGTTTTGAATTTTCCCCGGAGTACAGTTTTGCATTGTTCAACGCTACCAAGTTGTATTTGTATCGTATGTTCTGTGATTCACTAGTTGTTGAGTGTTGCGAGAAGTGGAGTGCTCCTACCTTTGTTATAAAGGGCTCTGCAAAACAACACACCGTAGAAGCTAGATATTACCATAAAATATTTCTGGGATTGTTGACTGTTTTTTTTTTATAGCTGCTTAATAGCATTTTAATGATCAAAGGTAGTTAGGTTGTTTGAAAGCTGAGGATATAATTGCTTATGGCTGCTTTTACCTTATATTTAAAACGTCTTATTTGTTCATTTTCTCAGGGATTTGGGATTCACAAGGATGTTTAAGAAATTTGACGAAGCAGAAGATATTATTGGTTCACAGCAACTGAAAAGTTCTGTACAGG